AGAGTACTACCTCATCAAGCTTCTTGCACGTTCCGCCAGGGAAGAAATCGAAAGCTTCGACTCGCTCCATGAATATCTGCGGTGCAACTCTTTCTGGAGTAAACTTTTCGCATCCTACATCAAGTCCCCACGGGACCGAAAGTTTATGCGTGATATTCTTGGAACTGTTGTGAGGGAGAATGTGGTTGAGAACCCAGAGTTGGACTTGGAGAGCGATCCCATACAGATCTATCGCTCGGCCATCAACAACGAAGAGCTCCGGACCGGCAAGCGGAGCCGACGCCGACTGGACATCCCAAGGGAAGAGGCAATCAGAGATCCAGAAACGAGAGCGACGTTTATTCAGCATCTTCAAGACCTCCGCGATATTGCTGACCAATTCTTTTCTGCTTTTGAGGAACTACTGTACAGGATGCCCTTTGGTATTCGGTACATCGCGAAACAGATGTACGAGAGCCTTCTCGCTCGATTCCCCAAGGAGAACCCCGGCTTCATTCTCCAGACAGCGGGGCATTGGGTGTGGAGAAACTACTTCCAGCCTGCAATGGTCGAGCCCGAGAAGTATGGTGTGATAGACCGTGGCTTGACCCAGGAGCAAAAGCGCAATCTTTCAGAGATCTCGAAGGTGATCGCGCAGGTAGCATCCGGTCGACTTTTCGGCGCAGAGAATGTCTACCTCCAGCCACTAAATAGCTATATCGGAGATTCTATCCAGCGGCTTGGTCAGATCTGGGGTGACAGTGAGTATTTCTTAACTTTTAATCTTTAGGATGATGCTGACCTTTTCGTAGTGGTCTCCGTTCAGGACGCTGAAAGCTATTTCGACATCGACGAATTCAATGACCTTTATGCTAAGACAAAGCCTACTTTGTATATCAAAATGTCTGATATCTTCTCTATCCATCAGCTTATCGCCAGCGAAATTCATTACATCTGCCAGAACCCGGATGATATCCTGAAGGAGGTCATTCGCGACCTGGGTAACGTCAAGTCCAACGAGAGTGAGCTAATGAGCGTCAACTCCTCTGAGATCAATCTCACCTTGAACCCCAAGCTGGCACAAGTTGAAGGTAAGCCCGAGCACTTTCACCACTCACAAATATGCCCGGAGACTGACATTTCGAACTAGATCCAGAAGCGGATGTGAAGGCTTTGTTCATGGAAACCAAGAGATGCATCCTCTACATTATTCGCGTCCAAACAGGCGCCAATCTGATGGACATCATGGTTAAACCACCCACCGAAGAGGACGAAGCCAAATGGATGACGCTGGTTCGTGACGAGTTGAGTGCAAACAACACACGACGGAGCCCTTACTCGGAAGCCACCACCATGGTAGACCTTGCCTCTATGAGTTACGCGGAGTTGAAGCAAACGGCTCTGGAAAACATTCTTCAACTCGAACAAACCGGTAAGATCCGGCGCGATAATTACTACCAGGATCTTCTGAATGCGATTGCCATCGATATCCGCACAAAGCATCGCCGGAGAATCCAGCGAGAGCGGGAATTGGACAGCGCTCGGATGACACTTGCTCGCCTCAACGACCAAGCTATTTGGCTGGATCAACAACTCAAGACTTACAACGACTACATCGAGCAGGCCATGGTGACCTTGCAGAACAAGAAGGGAAAGAAGCGGTTCCTTATGCCCTTCACCAAGCAGTGGGATCACCAACGAGAACTACAGAAGTCCGGCAAGGTCTTCAAGTTTGGATCCTACAAGTACTCGGCCCGCAATCTGGCGGACCGGGGTGTTCTCGTTCACTGGAAGGGATACACTGAACGACAGTGGGATCGGGTCGACCTTACCATCTCGAGTAACGAAGTCGGAGTTTTCACCATTGATGGAAGCAGTGGACCGATGATGATCCCGGGAGCCAACGCGCAGGTTCCGTTGGACGACCTACTACAAGCCCAGTTCAATAACATGCAGTTCCTGGACTTCTTCGATGGGCACTTACGAGTCAACGTCAATCTTTTCTTGCACCTGATAATGAGGAAATTCTATAATGAGTGATGGAGCGGTTTGATGCTGGATCATGATCTTATTCCGTCTATTACGTTTCATGTGTTGATGTTTTCTTCTATTTTATGTTTTTGTTGTCTGCATTTCTTTGAGATATCCCTTCCTCTTGCTATCATGTTGACGATGAAAAAGAGCTCATCTGGAAAGATGCCTGGAGTGGGCATGGTGGAGATGAGCCTTCGAACTCTTATACCTACTGAATATGTTTTCCTGTATCCCTCTGGTTTGCTATGCAAGGTGTCTTTGGATGCTTGAGCGCAACCGCCCGCATGTTATTTATGTATGTATGGCCTAAGCCTGCCTCGACGATGATTGAATGAATACCATAAGTGTACGTATCCTTAAAGCGAGAGCCTTTGTAGTAGCCAGTAGTAAGAGAAAACAATAATTATCATTCTGTCATGATTGAGTGTCATCTGTGAATAAGTTGTTTCAATGGAGGGAGGCCGAGCCATGAACGGGTCAGGGGTCGCCACGTGACGGCTTGGGGCCCAACGGCGATCGATGCCAGCTGGAGGCGATGGCATCTCAACTTCCGCCTCTTCCTCCACTGCTGCTTGCCCTGCCCTCCTGTCCTTGTTCCCGCAGGTCTTTCCTGTTACGGTTTCAATTGATTTTGTGCTAGATTCTCCATCTGTGCTGTGTGCGCCATGGATTTCTCCAACCTCAAAGAACAGGTCAGCAACCTGACCTTGTATGATCTCAAGGCGGGAGTCCGCAAGGTCCAGAATGGTACGTCCCCGCGGTGACCCCAGAACGCTTTCCTGACATTTTGGATGGCCTCGGATTCTGTTCCTTTGATGTAGGCGATTTACTGACTCTTATAGCGGTCATGAACTATACCGAGATGGAGGCCAAGGTCCGTTCCTACTATCCCGCCAGTTCCGTCCCGCCACGAGCCCCGGGCCTCCGCACCCCGTGTGGTCGTATCCCTGAAGCACAACACTGACGTTGGACAGGTCCGAGAAGCTACAAACAATGAACCTTGGGGCGCTTCGAACACACTTATGCATGAGATTGCCAGTGGAACCCATAGCTAGTCAGTGTTTCCGCCTCCGTCGCATGGCCTAGCAAGGACTCCCCTGGAGTACTAATGACAAGTCGCAACATACAGTCAATTGCTCAACGAGATCATGCCTATGATTTACAAGCGCTTCACAGACAAGACATCGGAGGAATGGCGACAGATCTACAAGGTGAGTCCTGTTTTCTCCTATTCTCTCCGCGACACATGTGGACCACGGCTTACGATGCGCGACAGGCGCTCCAACTTCTAGAGTTCCTTGTCAAGAACGGATCCGAACGAGTTGTCGACGATGCCCGCTCTCACATGTCTTTGATTCGGATGCTCCGCCAATTCCACTACATCGACCAGAACGGAAAAGACCAGGGTATCAACGTACGCAACAGGTCATCGGAGTTGGTTAAGCTGCTCGGTGACGTCGACTTGATCCGCTCGGAGAGGAAGAAGGCCAGGGCCAACCGCAACAAGTTTGGTGGATTCGAGGGTGGCTCACACATTGGCGGTGGCATGTCCAGCTCTAGCTCCGGCAGGTATGGCGGCTTTGGCAGTGACAGCCTCTCATTTGGCGGGTACAGTGGAGGTGTCTACGGTGACGGTGGTGGATTCGGAGGCAACACAGGCGATTTCGGGGACTCCGGGAGACGTTCCAATCGCTTCGAGGAATATGACGAGTATGACGAGGCCGATGCTAGTCCCCCGCGCCGGCGCGGGCCCAGTCCTCCCCGTGCTAGTGCTACTCGCCAGGCCAAACAGCCGGCCGCTCCTGCTCCTAAGGAACCCGAGCAAGACTTGTTCGACTTTGGAGAGGAGGAGACTGTCGCGACATCTGTCAGCGCTTCCAAGAAGCCTGCCACAGGCAATGGCCTAGATATTCTCGACACCCAGCCTGCTGACGATGACGACTTTGACGATTTCCAATCCGCCACGCCTGCGCCTGCGCCGGCATCGTCAGCTCAGTTCGCCATTCCCCCGCCGGCCTCCACTGTCAGCACGACCTCCAGCACGCAGTTCGCTGCCCCCAAGCCAGTCTCGGCCACCCAGGGCTCGAACCTGAACGGCATTGTAGGCTTCACCTCGATGACCCCTACCCCGACCTCGAGCACGATGGCGTCTCCCACACTCTCTCAGAGCTCCCTGGCACAGACCCAGAAACCCGCGCAACCCAAGCCTAGTGGCTTCCAGGCGGCCACTCCCAACTACTTCACCTCTGTTTCTACTCTCTCCAACACGACTCAACAACCTGCTATGGGTCACCGCCCCAACATGCCTTCCACCTCCTCTTTCACTTCCACCACGCCCTCTACCCCCTCTGCCGCCAACAAGCCCGCTGCCCCCAAGGCATCCGGTGACGTCTTTGGATCTCTCTGGTCCACCGCCAGCGCCAGCGCCGGTATTCAGAAGAACAACACGGGCGGAAACAAGGGCCCTAACCTAGCCAGCATGGCCAAGCAAAAGGCCAGCGCCGGCATTTGGGGCGCTCCCGCTGCTTCAGGCAGTCCTGCATTCAACCAGAGCAGCAGCAGCGGGGCGCCGAAGACAACGGGAAGCTCTGGCCTAGACGACCTACTGGGCTAGGTCAATGACTATCTCAGCTCGACCTTTACATCATTGTCTTCTTCTTTTCCCCGCTTAGCTGAATGTTCTTTTTTTCTTTCTTTACCTTTTTGGCACTGTTCGAGTGACTGTGTGTATACCGTAGTACGAATATTTCTTCTTTTATTTTATTTGCTTGCGTGCAAGATCTAAAATAGCAGGCCTACCCTAACTCACTTTTTTCGTCTTTCATCTATTCTGCTATCTACCTATTGCCTCTAGCCGATTCTTCGTGTGACTACTCCAGATATATTCTCGTTCTCCCGTGGCATAATAGCTCGGCTCCCCTATTCCCCCTATTCCCTGGTATGATATGGTATGGTACGTTACTTGTGCCTCAAGGGTACCCTTGAACCTATCCTGTACTCCTTTCTCTGGCGAAAAGCAGAAAAGTTCCATAGGATGCAATTTAATTAGAATTGACTTATTAACTTTATATATGTAGGATCCAGCCAAATTAACTATCTCTTATGCAATCCCACCCCAAACCTTCTCATATCCTCGAATGCCAATATAGATCTAACTACCTACCTTTAATCCCTTCCAGTACTACTACTAAGCAACAACTCAGGATGAACCTCCTCATCATACCCCTCCCCCACCCCCCTCCCCACCGCGGGCCTCCCCTCAATCCTCTCAACCCACCTCCTCAGCAGCGGAAACCTACCCATCTCCTCCTCCGTAATCGTCATCCTCTTCCACGCCCTTATCCACGTATACGCATTGATATCAGCAATACTATACTTCCCTCGTCCCTCGCCCACCAAGTACTCCCTCGCTTCAACACCATCACCAGCCAAACTATTTGATAGATGCAATTCCAGCACGTTGTATATCCGAAGCGTCTCGGCTTTGAAGTTCTCGATGGCATCTTGTCACCCAGAACCATTAGCATCTTTCATATACATAATATCCATTCCCCCATAGAACCACAACCCTAAAAATGAGAAGAAAGAAAGAAAGAAAGAAAGAAAGAAAGAAAGAAAGAAAGAAAAAAGAAAGAAAGAAAGATATACTTACAAGAATCCACCACCCCCGCGAACCTCTTGAGATGATTCAACCCCGCCTGCTGCGGCTGCCCCGACGCAGACCAGAAGAATAACCACTGGAAGAGTTGGGATTTGTAAATCGGTGAGGAGGAGAAGTGGAAGTGGTGGTCTGGGTCGTATGTTTCGATGAGGTAGAAGGAGTATAGCGGGGAGGATTCCATTACCGTTAATGGGGATGATAGGCTTGGGGAGTTGTCGATTAAGAGGGGGATTTTGCCTAATTTCCCTTTTGAAATTCAGTACATATTTTCCTGCCCAGGTGGGGGTTTTCAAAGTCAAAAAAAAGAAGGATCTGACCGTTAGGATTCAGCGCGAGAAACCACGGCTGCTTCTGCTCGTCGGTCTCGAGGTCGATTAGGGTTGTGGTCCATTGTAAGCCGTATTTTGCGGAGAGTTCTTCGAGGAGGATTTGGACTTTTTTGCCGTTGGGGGTGCTGGCTGTTAGGAGGTGGAGGCCCTTTCATTTATAGGAGTTGTGAGGATGTGTATTGAGGGAGAGTAGGGTGAAGGTGTGGGTGGGGGGATTACCTTTGTGTTTTTGATTCTTGGTGGTGTTGTTGATGTGAATGGACTTGTCATTGTGATGGTTAGTTTTGTAGGGTTAGTTTAGGCATCTGTTCCTTTTAGAGTGTTGATAGTAGTAAAAGAAGTAGTATTTATATGTCAATCTCCACCATAGCATGATGGCATCATCTAATCCTTGTCCGACGGAGGTCCGGATTGATTTGATAGTAAGCCCTCTTAACGTCCGTCTTGGAAATTTAGGCACCAGCTACTAGGATGATGATCTCAGTTTTGAACTAGTTAGAGGAAGCGCGGCTTAGTGACTACTTATCCCTGTCAAAGTAGTTTGTTTCGGCATTTTTAAACTTTATGACTTGGTTGTCACAAGATGATGAGGTTGTCAGTGGTCATACTGGATATACTACAAATAGGGCACGACAGACAAATGTATAGTAAGCACTAAGATTGTAAAACATTGCTCATGAATCACATATGATATAGATAAAACATAACTAACGCTGTTGGAGGTATATGAATACTTCGATCACACGCTGTATGCTAGGGAATGCTTTTGTTTTCACAGAAAAGCAAGCAAGCCAGCCTACAACCATAATCTAATGCATTGACGCCATCGCTCAAGTACAATAACATATATACAGGCACATTTGCCCTCCCCTTTCCCACATTTGAAACAGTCCCCATCACCCTCACTCTCACTCACTCTCACAGTTCCTTCACATCTCTGCCACTCCTCTCCCTTGTCATGAAATGATCATATCATGCATGTATGCATTCACAAACAGCCGTCCCGTTCAAATGGTGGTATTCCAACAATAGCAGTTCCAGCCGGGGAACAACAAGAACAGTAAGGAAATATAAAAAAGAAGAAATGAAATGAAAAGAAATAAGATGATGCAATCATGTTTGGGTCGAGGTTCATCGGCCCTCAGGAGAGTAACATGGCCAGCAGCTATTATACTGGGTCACAGATTCATCAGAAGCTGAGGTCATCTGTACCTCCTTAGCAGGACATTATGTCCCAGTATTGCAGGTCTGAAACTAGGTCGCCTTCTTTTCAGGAAGGTCTTGCGGGGCTTCGAGCCCCTGATCTTCTGCCGGGAAATGTGACATGTTCGAATCCGTCTTGCCACCGCTAGCCAGCTGCGAAGACTCCCTCTTTGCCCCGTTGGAGACATGCTCGACGTTAACGTAGGTCGACTCCAGTGGGAGCTGTTCGTCTTGCGTGGGTGTGATAGCTTGCTGGGAATCTGTCGACTCCGGGCTCAGGTACGTGTTGTTCTCTTCGTCCGCATCAGGCTCGCCGTTCAACGACGTCAGCCCTCCCTCGATATCTCGAAGCAGACGCACAAACTCCTCTGGTACCAGCCCGCTCTCCCCAGTCTTGGGATCCTCCGCAACAAGCCAGCCCTGGCCGTGCCGGTACGAGACAAAGATCACCTGCCCTTCAGTAAGGGGCAGCTCATTCTCATGCTCTCTTGTGAAATCGAACAGTGCAACCGCTTTTCCGTGCATCTCCTCATCAGGGCACCCCACAGCAAACTGAAAGTCACGCGAGTACCGATGATCCCCGGCATAGTCATCTTCAGAATCAAAGTCCGCCTCATGTCCATAGGCTTGATAGTCATACGAGCCCACATGAGAATACCGGCTTTCGTTCGCCGGATAGGTGACATACTCGCCGCCCGGTCCATCCTCCAAAGCGTCGTCATCGTTCACATAGTACGTCTCGCTGCCGTCCGCGTTCATACTGACAAGCGTACCCCGATCGGTATCTGCCTCATAGCCCATGCCTTGATGCTCGCGGCCACCAGGGCCCCTGGCTTTCCGTCCATTAAGGTCAGTTCCGGTGGACTTGTTTTTCCGGTGACGCGGGGCGGAAAAGACTGGGCTGTGTAAGTCTTCATCCTCGCTATACGGCGGACCATCGCCAAAGGACATGGCGGGAAGTTGCTGGTGCCCATAGCTATGATCGGTAGTCCATGGTCCCACGGACCACTGTCCACGAGAACTATCCCACGGGGCCGGAGGATCGGACAGGCGCCGTTGCTCACTTGCCGGGGTGGACACCACCGATGCACGAGGCGGCAATGGGCCGTAGTGAAGAGGATGAATAGGAGGATACGCAAAGTCGCGAACCAGCGCATACGGTAAGCTGGAATGAAAGACAGGAAAGACGTGGGATCCCGGCCGCGACCGATTCTGAGAAGCTAAGGAAACATTAGAGTGCATGGAGAGACGATCCTTTGCGTACGAGGAGGATCGCTGACGGCCCTGCCGCTTAACTGGGGAGTCTGTGATTATGGGAGGCAAAACCGTTAGGTTCGAGGAAGCCGTTGGCTGCGATGAGGGGGCCGAGGTTGTGGAAGCCATGATGATAGTCATGAGTCCTCAAAGGTAATGATCAGAGCGGAAGAAAGAATGATTACGTGTCGAAGATGTCGTGTGAGGTAATGTCGGGTCGGATGTTTGTCGCTTGAGAGGGGATAGAAAAGCTGGAGAACCGGTCCGCCCTAGTTTCGCATCGCGATCGTTCTGCCACGAAACTCTACTGCCAGATCCCGCCCGAAGGTTATTTCAAGGAAACGCTCGCACCAAGAATATGTATGGCGAAAGCATGCGACTCAGATCGGAGGGATGTCTCGTGAGCTCCTTGCGTACAGCACGATGCAGATCTGGGACTGGGAGGATGCTGCGCGCCGAAACAAGTCTGAATCAACCGGAGAGGGCACTAGACGACCGGCGACAAGTTAATGGACCGCGGCTAGACGCCAAAGAAGCGAGGTGGCCGCAATGGGATGTCTGACAGGTCCGGGTATAATCGACAGCGAACGGACAGGTACAGCGCGGCTATCGACCTCAAGAGCAAGCACCGCGGGGATCTTCGATGACGGGCAGCTGTTCCCCTCTTCTCTTTCTCAGGCCAAGAAATATTAAACACAACGACGTTGACTGCACCGACCAGGCGGCTGCAGGGGTGGCAGACAAGATTTGATGAGCGACAGCCAATGCCCGGTGGAGGGGAGGTTTGCAGCGAAGCAGGTGGGAAAAAATTAAGAGGAGGTTGTTTCGAGAGCGTTTTGGTCCCGCGCTTGGGAGTTCGGGATGGTCGAAGGCAAAACTGGGGATGCTAAAATTAGCAACGAGGGCAGGGCCAAAAAAGCGCCACTCTGAGAGGACGGCGACTACCGAACCCAATAACAAACAGGAGATAAAAAGAGGGGAGGCAGGAAGGGAGGAGATTGATTGATTGATTGATTGGAATATTGAAGGGGGGGGGAATTAAGAAAGAGGGGATGAGCGCCAGGAGAGGAGGACAAGACACTCAGCTGCAGGAAGCAGGAGAAAGATGACACACAGGATAAGGGACGGTGGAGCGAGAAAGGCAGAGAGAGCGAAAGAGCGAGAGAGAGAAGGGAATGAATGAATGGTAGGGGCGAGAGGGTGCGACAAGAGGCTTGCCAGTGCCGGAGATTACTGCTAACTTACCTGCCGTGAAGGCTCCGACTGAAGCGTTAAGGATCAACGAGGCGCAGTCACCGATGCGGTGGAGTTCAAGGATTCAGAAACCCGCTGGCATGCAGGGTCACTGTCTTTCGAGGCCGGACAGTCAGGCAATTGAGGGTTTCTCCAGGGCAGAAAAAGGGAGGGGAGTAGACGCAGTTGATCGGGGTGAATAATCCGGGGTCTTTCCTGACTCTAAACCAACATCTTCCACTCCTTCAAGCTCGTTTTCTTTTTTTGTCTGGGAAGTTTGAAGATTCACCCCCTCCACGTGACTACCCACGCGTGGCTTAGCGTGTTTCAGGTGTGGATGCCTCGGGCCATCGCCGAACGGGCCACTTGGTGCCTCAGCAGCCAGGCATCACAATGCTCCTGCTCTGCTCCTTGTCTCTCCACATGCCTTTCTGCCTTGCATGGCTCATAGTAGCTACTAGTTACCCACCACGCCCCAGCCACTAGACGACAGCCAGCCACTCTAATTATATCTATTGGTCCCGGATATAGGATGCGCATTTACTTCCTCGTGGTCCTGCGGTGGATCTATTTCTATTTAGTTTAATTTTCCATCAACCTATCTACCATGTAGTACCCTAGGAAAAGTACAACGAATGGAATCCGGCATTTCAATTGTCTATTGATCAGAAGGGTCTAGTCAAACAAAGATCAAAGAGTGACTGTCATCAATCCCGGCTAGGCCCGCCTAGCTCGAGCGGCAGAAGAGAATGTAAAAGCTAACCGATCTCTTCGGAGGGTATACAATGCATTCCAAATCCCCAGCTATTGGGAACGCAAGGGATCCACATCCAAAGCAAGGTCTTTTCGATCAAGTGCTTCCAGCCAAGGCAGCACTGCTAGTCCAAGGTATATGTGTCGTGATGACTGTCGTCAATGTGAGAACTCTAAAAGGCGCCACCGAGGTTGGTGTTGGCGTCGGTGCCGGCGTTGTCGAACTTGGCGCAGAACTACCTCCAGCCTCCGTACTATCAGTGCTAGATCCCATCACCTCGGCAAACTCAGACGGAATGGCTGCGCTGTCGAGGGACTGGCCCTCCACATATCCCTCCTGGACGTGCGTATGAGTGGTAGGGCTATCTACCACATCCACATCAATGCAAGTGGTATAGATCTCCTGCTTGCCATTGGGGAGTGACGGGTCCACGCCAGGAGCCGTGGGCCAATTCCAGACCCAGTAGAGCGTATACGGCTTGCCTGTAGGTGCATTCGATGGTAGCGCGATGTCCTGTTGACACCACAGGTCTGCGCCCATCAATTGGTCCGCCACGTGGGGGTACACGGCTTGACGATGTTCGGAGATATTGCCATTGTTGATCTGATAGCAACGGCCGTCATCAAAGTTTTGCTTCGACAAGAGAACGCCGCGTCGATCCCCTCCCGTACCGTCGCGATTCCAGGAATTGAAGACGTCCAGGAAGTTCTCCTCCTCCTTCGGCTCGGTAGTTCCGTAGACGTAGATTGTCCCTCTATTCTTTGGCTTTCCCGGTTGATTCCAAGGTAGAGTCACATGGCCGTTTTCTTGGTAGCGAAGAGCGATGGGGGAGCCGGCAGATGCCTGCAGCCGCGGGCT